AGTTTCTTATGATTAAGTTTTGAGTTAAACATTTTGGCAAGTGTATTTCATTGCTTCAGAAGGTTGATAATGTTGCATGTCTCACTTTTGATAATAACTGAATTTATAACCCCTTGATTAAGGTGCTAGCTGCCAGATTTCTCCATTGTAAAGGTTATCTTTTCCCCTTTGTAATAAATGAATCATCTTGGAGGCCAATACAGATTTGAATATTGCTCTTTTCACTTAAAATTACAGGTATACATTTTCTATATTATCTCAAAATCACCTGATATGCTAAACTGTTATGAGCATATAGTTTCTTATCTTTATTAAACACAGTACCTATTTGTCTGAATACTTACTATGTGCCAAGCACTATGTTAAGTACTTTATACATATTTTTTTGTTTCTTTAACATAACAACATCAGTTTATCCTCCAAATGATATAGATACTATCATTCTCTTTATTTTACAACAGAAAACTTCAAAAAAAAGTCACTCTGAGCATTAAAACTTGGATTTGCTCTGCTCATCTTGAAAGCTTGAGTACTTCACCACTCTGCTATGTTCTTCTTTAGAAAGTGAATTTGAAGATCCTATGGTAGCATCCTATGGTAGCATCAGCTGAATTTAAAAATCAAAGAGGGATAGTAATTTTCTTACCTTGGTAAGAATTTTCTTACCTTGGTAAGTAATTTTCTTACCTCTTCTCTTCCCTATCTCTTCTTTCTTTTCTTCCTTCCTTTATTTATACTTGTGGTAAAGTATATATAAAATCTACCATCTTAACCATTTTTAAGTGTACAATTCAGTTCGTATTTTTGTGTCACCATTCTCCAGAACTGTTTTCATCTTGCCAGGCTAAAACTCTGTTTAAACAATTCTGAATTCCTCTCCTCCCTGCAACCCCTAGCAACCACCATTCTACATTCTTTCTGTTTGAATTAAACTATCCGAGGAACCTCATATAAGTAGAATCATAAGTATTTGCCTTTTCCTAACTGGCTTACTTCACTTAGCATAATATCTTCAATATTATCATAATATCATCCATGTGATAGTATGTGTCAAAATTTCCTTCCTTTTTAAGTCTGAGTAATATTCCCTCATGTGTCACATTTTGTTTATCTGTTCATCTGTTGATGGACTCTTGGGTTGCTTCTGCCCTTTGGTTATTATAAATAATGCTGATTTGAACATGAGTGTACAAATATTTTTTTGAGACCCTTTTTCAGTCCTTTTGGGTTTGTACCTAGAAGTAGAATTGCAATTCTGTTTTTAATTTTTAAAAAATAAGATATTTATGGAGAAGAAAACGGCAGCCCACTCCAGTACTCTTGCCTAGAAAATCCCATGGACAGAGAAGCCTGGTAGGCTACTGTCTATGGGGTCGCAAAGAGTCAGACACGACTGAGAGACTTCACTTTCACTTTTAGTTCTCTCAATCAGAGAGAACCAGTCTTCTCTTAAGAAAGGGAGAAGCAGCAGCTGCTTGCTGCCAGCAGTCCCCAAATGTTGTTTTTGGCTTTGCTTTTTATTTTCTACGTATCACTGAATATAATTAACACTGGTCACCTTGAATTCATTGTTGTAACAGAGGAATAGACCTGAGACATCGCCAGCACTAGCCTAAGTAGAGCTGCCCCCTTTCTCTGCAGTTGTGGTTTACTACTTCCTGGGTTAGAAGGAATAACTGGGAGCTCTGCATGGATCAGACCCTTCAGGCAAGAACCAGTGTGTTAATAGTGTGAATTAGATATACTGACTACCTGCTCTGCTTAATTGCTATGAAACTGAACTAATCAGCAGTTATAAAGCACATACTTTGTTATGTGCTAGGCTCTGCCTCCTGGCCTGTAGATAATTTAAGAAGACCTAGGGAATACCATCAGACGTGCTAATTGTATTTGGGTGTTAACAAAAGCAGATCTAGACAAGCTGTCCACTTAAATGGTACCTTTTGGTCAGAAAAAATTTATTTAAAGATTGTGATCATGTAAAATTACTCAAACCTTCTAGCAAAAATATTTTTTGAAAAATAAACTAAATGCCTTTAAAAAAAAAAAAAAAAAAAAAAAAAAAAAAAATAAGATATTTAAAGATATCAGTCTCTTGGAAATCCTCTTAGTAGTAGTAACAATGATCTATGTGTAGAGGAGAAACTTAAGCAGAAATTGACCTTCCCTTCATTCTGAAAATCTAAGTAGGTTTGAGGGCTGACAAATTGCTGTGGTTTTGACAACTTGGAATGAAGATCCTCCTGGATTTAGACAGGTTCCCTATGTTTAGTGGACCTCTATGTTTTTTTTTTTTTTTTTTCTTTTGGCCTTGCTCTGGGGCATGTGGGATCTTCAGTTCACTTACCAGGGATTGAACCACGTCCTCTGAATTGGAAATGTGGAGTCTTAACCACTGGACTGCCAGGGAAGTCCTGTGGACCTCTATACTGGATGATACCTTTTTCTTTATTGCCTGTAGTCAGTTTTGTGCTTCAAAAATCTGTCCAGATCTATTAATTCTTGGAGGTTTCACTGAAGTCCCATGAAGTTTTTCCCTAAGTGCATCAAGATTCATATAAATACCTCTTGTAATGTATTTGAGTCTTTATTCTCTTTCTTGACTGATTGGTCAAATTGCTTATTGTTTGTCCTTTTCTAGATGGCTAATTCCAGAAAATTTAAGCCGAATCTTGTACTGCTTTTCTGTTTATATCCTTCCCCCATACCTCTGCCACCAAAAAGAGAAAAAGAAAGAAAAGCACTACCCTGAAAGAAATTACCTGGATAAATGAATGATGCTCTGGCCCTTAAAAAGTATGTTAGAAGTATCATTTAACTTGCTGCTGTATCATTCTTGCTGCTGTTTTCATTGTGCTCTTATGATGTGCCAGGTCTTTTAGGTACTGCAAAATAAAAATTAATACAATATAGATCCTGGTCTCAAAATGCTTTGTAGCCTAGTGAGGAGATATTTATGCACAGAACTATGTCTTGAGTTGTATACTGTTGTTCTGAGGCAGTATAAAGAAGGAAACCACAAACAGTTCCTAGAGATAGACAAGGAAGACGTCAGAGAGGAAGGGGATATTTGAGTGTGGCCTTCAAAGATAGGTAGAATTTGAGGGGCTAGAAGAAAGAGGAAAATATTTTATGCAGATGAAAGACATACAGTGTTATGAACATGTTCATCTCCTTGTCTACTTGTTTAAGGAAGTAGGGTTTTTTATGATTAATTTGAAACAACTTTTTTTAATCCCTAAATTTCACACATTGTTTTATCAAAGTTTCTTAAAAGCAGACATTAAGAAAACAAAACAAAACCTCAAGAGTGATAGTTTTCAGATGATGGGGAAAAGAAAAAAAGAGTGACTTTCAGAATGGAGAGCCCTTATTAAAAAACAGATGTCTTCTGTAAATAGAGCTGGAAAAATACTGTCAGTGTGTTCTTTGTATATAAACGTCTCTTTTAACTTATCCATGCAGGATCTGAAAAGGAAAGCCACTTCTCTTTCATCAGTCATGAGGTACAAGACAACAGAATCGTTGATGCACTAGGAAGAGAGCTGGTTCCAAATCTCACTCAGGGATCTAGAAGAGGGCAGAGACAGCCAGTGCTGTGCCCAGTTCTTCTGCTCAGGGTTCCTGTGGCTCTGAGCGTTTAATTCTTCCTTCCCCTTCTTCTGTCTAGACACTCTGAAACATTGCTTCTTTGAGTTTTAAGATAAGCTGTGTTGTCTGTCGTATATTAATAGCTATACTAAACTTCTGAGGCTGTTGTCCTGTCAAAGAATTTCTGGAGATTGAAGAGTTAAGTAGATTTTTGTGTTTTCTATTGGAATTTCCACTTGGTGAAGTAGAAGTAAGATCCTGAAATGATACTCTGAAAGTTCATAGAATGATGACAGTTGTGCATGGCATGTCTCTGTTGTACATGATCTGAAACAAGTTTTTTTTTAACCAGTAAGTAATGAGGTCTTTGGTACTTTGTAACTTTTCTACAGCCTCATTCATAATTGCCCAGTAGGAAACACATATCTAAGTGAATAATTGAACTTCTTTTGGTTAAGACAAAATATTTTCTCTCATTTTGATACCACTGAGACTACTTTTGGAGGCTGAAAACATAGTTAATTTTCTTGCAGGTAAAGTGTTGAATTTTTTTAAGCCTGTGGCGTGTGCATTGAAATTATAAAATAATATTTTTACATGTAAAATAGATTGAGTTCTACAGAGGATGAACATTTTAGAAGTAGACTTTGCTCTGTGTATATGGGTAATGGTGTGAGTGGTGTGGCTCAGGTTTTTTGTATCGGACTTGATTGTATGTAAATAATTATAAGGAACTTTGGGTTGGGTTACTCAATATTAGGTCCAGAGATTCACTGCCTTCTTTCTATATTTAACATGCAATAATTTTTTCTGTATAGATATACATTTTATGGTGCTTGGGAGAGATTTTGAGGTTGTGGGTTTAGTGTCCTATAAAGACAGTTTTATAGTTCATTAAGTGTTATATAAGCCTTGTGCATGAATCTTTTCTGTGCACAGTTAAAACTCTACGAAAGACTTTCCGGCTAGTGTCCTAAGGCTCAGAAGCATTGGCCATTAGGAACCAGCCTACATTTTCCCCGTTTTTGTCTAAGGTATTTTTTTAAAAAATCATGATTTCTTTCTTTTTTTTTAATTAAACTTTTTATTTTGTATTGGAGTATAGCCAATTAACAATGTTGTGATAGTTTCAGGTGGACAGCAAAGTTAGAAGTCATGATTTCTTGAGGTATAATCATGTATTTTCTAGCCAGCTTAATATGAAACAGTTTTGGTCTTCAAAGGAATAAATCCATCTTTGTTAACAGATGTGAAACCCTTATGTAATCCCAGTTTATAGAAAAACATCCCTTACCATGTCTGTTTTATCTGAATTGGCAGTAAAACATCTCAGCATGCTCTACATGTGGAGACTTTGACCTCATATATAGCTGCCATCCTTGAGTCTCTTGTTCTATTTTATTTTCTAGGTGCGCCACCGAGCTTCCGGCCAGGTGATGGCTCTTAAGATGAACACGTTGAGCAGTAACCGGGCAAACATGCTGAAAGAAGTGCAGCTCATGAATAGACTCTCCCATCCCAACATCCTTAGGTAATGGCCTTTCCGTCCTTTCAGAGATCAGTGAGAAAGCTGAAACATTATTGGAAACTTGTTAGAATAGTATTAATAGCTGAAAAGAGGGATTCCAGGTTTCATGCTGCATTTGTCTTGCTGGAATTTAGCTGGGTTGTAGGTCTTTTTCTACCTATTGAGACTTAATTTTCTGGTAATTAACTGCATTTAATAAGGCAACTTTTGGGACTTCCCTTGGCAGAGCCAGAAAGCTTTCTTGGAGGAGGTTGAATCAAATTGGAATGTGAAGTTTAATAGGATTTTAGAAGATAGGGGAAGAACTCAGAAAGGAACAAAATTGTTGTTGTTCAGTCGCTAAGTTGTGTCTGACTCTTTGTGACCCCATGGACTGCAGCACACCAGGCTTCCCTGTCCTTCACTATCTCCCGGAGTTTGCCCAAACTCATGTCCATTGAGTTGGTGATGCCATCCAATCATCTCATCCTCTGTCTTTCCCTTCTCCTCCTGCCTTCAATCTTTCCCAGAATCAGGGTCTTTTCCAGTGAGTCGGCTTTTCGCATCAAGTGGCCAGAGTATTGGAGCTTCAGCTTCAGCATGAGTCCTTCCAATGTATATTCAGGGTTGATTTCCTTTAAGTCACTGGTTTGAGCTCCTGGCTGTCCAAGGGATTCTCAGGAGTCTTCTAGAAACTCAGAAAGGAACAAAATAATAACAAATAAAGCATAAAGGTAAAAGTGCAAAGCTTTTTAAGGAGTCAGTGAATTAAAAACCCATTTGGCTATGGAGTATGCAGAAGAGGAGAAAACTATGCTCCTACTGAAACCCTTAAGAAAAAAATGAAGGAATTTTGAGGACTTCACTGGTGGACAGTGGCTAAGACTCCATGCTCCCTATTCAGGGAACCTGGGTTTGATCTCTAGTTAGGGCATTAGATCCTGCATGCCACAACTAAAGATTCTGTATTCTGCAAGTAAAAGATCCCACATGCCACAACAAAGATGGAAGATTGTGTGTGCTGCAACTAAGATTGGCACAGTCAAAATAAATAAAATTAGAAAACAAATATATTTTTTGAAAAGTGAAGGAATATTGCAGAGCTGAAGATCAAGTGCCTGTGAAAGAAATTTGCCCAAAAGATTCATCAAAAGGTAAGGAATGAAGCTTATCTGTAAAGAAGCTAAGTGCTATCACCAAGAGTATAGGTAGGTATACAGAACTGAGATTCTGATGGCTTGGATGGCAAGAAAAGCTGGCAGCTTCTACCTGCAGAGCCCAAACTGGCATTTGTCATCATTTGTCAGAGGTATCGGTGTTGTGAGTTCACAGATCTGAAAGACATTGCAACTTCTTCACCTTTGTCAAGTCTTCAGTGGCACCTTCGTTAAGATCAACTATGCTCCATTTAACATGCCGAGGACCATGGAACCGTATATTGCGTGGGAGTAACCAAACCTGAAGTCAGTAGATAAACTGATCTACAGATGTGGTTATGACAAAATCAACAAGAAGCAAATTTCCCTGACAGATAACACATGGATTGCCTGATGTCTTGGTAAATATAGCATCATCTACATGGAGGATCTGATTTATAAGACTTATACTGTTGGAAAATTCTTCAAAGAAGGAAACAACTTTGCAGCACTGTTTATAATATCCAGGACATGGAAGCAACTTAGATGCCCATCAGCAGACGAATGGATAAGGAAGCTGTGGTACAGATACACTATGGAATATTACTCAGCCATTAAAAAGAATTAATTTGCATCAGTTCTAATGAAGTGGATGAAACTGGAGCCCATTATACAGAGTGAAGTAAGCCAGAAAGATAAACACCAATACAGTGTACTATCGCATATATATGGAATTTAAAAAGATGGTAACAATAACCCTATATGCAAAACAGAAAAAGAGACACAGATGTACAGAACAGACTTTTAGACTCTGTGGAAGAAGGCGAGGATGGGATGTTCTGAGAGAACAGCACTGAAACAAGTATACTATCAAGGGTGAAACAGACCACCAGCCCAGGTTGGATGCATGAAACAAGTGCTCAGGGCTGGTGCACTGGGAAGACCCAGAGGGATGGGATGGAGAGGGAGGTGAGAGGAGGGATCAGGATGGGGAATACATGTAAATCCATGGCTGATTCATGTCAGTGTATGGCAAAAACCACTACAATATTGTAAAGTAATTAGCCTCCAACTAATAAAAACAAATGGAAAGGAAAAAAAAAAAGAAGGAAACAACTTCTTGTGGCTGTTCAAATTCTCTTCTCCATGAGGTTGAATGAAGGAAAAGACCACCCATTTTGTAGAAGGTAGAGATGCTGGCCACAGGGAAGACTAGATCAACAGCTTGTTCGAAGGATGAATTAAGATATCTACTATGATTATTTTTGTGATCTGGTCAGGGAATAAATAGAGCAATTTATTGGACTGAAAAAAAATTTGTTAATAATAACAACAATGAGAAAACCATTTATTGAAGTCTTCCTTGTATGCTGGATATTTTGCCTATTTAAAGATTTAATTTTCATAATTTTTCTCCATTGAAGAAACAGGCCAAGAGACTTATGTGTTGTCTGAGGTCTGTAACTTTGAGGTAGGACTCTTTCTACCATGTTTCTCCTAGAAGAACTTTTTCTGTCATGTCTCTCCTAAAGGATTTGATGGGATGGCATTGGTAGATAAATGTGGAAAGATAGAACTGGGCCATTCTATTCAGAAATGTTTTGCCCAAAGCCAAGAAGATTATATTTTATGTTTTATGTGTTGAATTCTGAGCAGGGATTAGATGACAGAGGGTAACTAATGGCAAATTCAGAATGGTTTAGTGATGGAGAGACTGGTGGCCAAGAGATCAGTTAGGGGACATCTGCAGTGTTTGAGATGGTTGAGTCTTTTTTTTGTTTGTTTGTTTGTTTACTATTTAATATATAGTATACCATATATGGTATATGTTGTTTAGTCGATAAATTGTGTTCAACTCTTTGCAGCCCCATGGATTGTAGTCCATCAGGCTCCTCTCTCCATGGAATTTCCCAGGCAAGAATACTGGAGTGGGTTGCCATTTCCTCGAGATGGTTGAGTCTTGATTTGATGTTCTTCTTAGGAATTTTTAAGCTGATTATATTTTCATCTTGTTTAAAAAGTACTGATTTTGTAGAAATGATACATCATCACTGTGGATCATTGAGAAAATAGTATTCACAAAACAGGAAAATAAAAAATGGTCTCAATTTCAGCATCTAGGCATCAAGCTAGTATTAACATTTGATATATTTTCTGCCAGTCTTCTTTATTCATCACTTCTTTTTTTATTCTCTTCACTATGAACTTGACTAGTAATTGCATGGGAAGATTGACTCTAAATAAATTTTATTTCATGACAGCAAAGTTTAAAGATATAGTTCTTATATAAAGAAGTAGAATACTATATAGTGTACTGATTAAAAATGGAGGCTCTGGATTCCAGATCAAGCTGCCTGAATTGAAATCCTAGATCTTGGGATCCTTAGTTTTCCCACCTATAATGGGGATAATGACCGTAAATCAGTCATAGAGTTGTTATTGAGGATTAATTTAATCCATATAAAGCACCCTGGAATAGTACTTGGTTTTGTTAAGTGTCCAGTAAATGTTAGCTATTATTGTTAGTTTCTTTTCCTCTGGCTAGTTCTTTAAATGGCTCACTGCATCCCATCTGTCTTTTATCATTCATTCACTCACCAAACATTTGTTGAGGGTCTACTGCTGTTTCCAATACATTCAAGAGTTTTCTGCTAGAGTGATGCTGTTGAATAGAATAGAACTTTCTAAAATTATGGAAATGTTCTTTATCTATGCTGTTCAATAGCTTCATGTGGCTAATGAGCATTGAAATGTGGCTAGTACAAAGAAGGAACTAAATTTTTTATTTGATCTGATTTAAATTGCCACATGAAGCTTAGCAGCTACTATATTGGACAATCCTGGGCTTTCAGTCTGTGTACATCTTTGCTCTTGTTGAATACCATTCCTATTCTGATGTCTCCTTGGTCTACTTTCTCAGCCTTTTTTCTTTTTGCCTCGTTGTTCAGGAATGACACACCCTTTCCTTTTAGCTTACAAAAAATAATATTCTTTGCTGTGAGCTGTTTTCTAACATATAAAATGTAATGTTAATTCTATCTTGATCTTCACAATAAGCCAACAAATGAGATAATGTATATAAAATCTATAGATCTGTTATAATACACAGTAAGCATATAATACATGAAAATTATTATAATGATTATTAACCATGGTGGGTTTGCATTTTGATGGTGACATTTTTGTCCTGCATAAGCCATCTGTCTCAAATATAGTGCAGTTAAAAGCCTGGAAGTGGATTACTTTTTAAAAAAAGTTTTAGTTGTTTATATCTTTCATGTTTTTGTGCCTTTACTTTCATTGTATATTTTGAATACAACAGAAGGAAATTATCTTATCAAGGGGGCCTAGAGCAAGCAGAGTCCTCTTGGCTTTTGTTAACCAGAGGAGTCCTATAGCAGTAGAAGCATTTATTATACTTCCCTAGGACTGATGTTGAAGCTGAAACTCCAGTACTTTGGCCACTTGATGTGAAAAGCTGACTCATTTGAAAAGACCCTGATGCCGGAAAAGACTGAAGGCAGGAGGAGAAGGGATCGACAGAGGATGAGATGGTTGGATGGCATCACTGACTCAATGGACATGAGTTTCAGTAAACTCCGGGAGTTGGTGATGGACAGGCAGGCCTGGCCTGCTGCAGTCCATGGGGTCTCAAAGAGTCGGACATGACTGAGTGACTGAACTGAACTGAACTGAGGATGCATAACTGTGTTCCAGTCTCAAATTCTTAGAATTTTTATTTCCTTAATGCTTTTCTAATTGACTTAGAAATTTACTGTTCATACTTTATATTTTTTGTGATTCAAATTTTTTGTTCCTATTTGTTAGTATGGCTCTTAGCCTATTTTCAAGCTGTTAGTATAGGTTAGTTTGTTTTTAGAGGTACAA